CTACATAAAGCTACAGGAAAATCTACAACAACTGTCTTGAATTTAAAAATGTAAAAAGAGTATTCCTATAGTGATGGACTAGTTATATTAGTAATGTTTTTAATGTATTTAACTGGCTAGGTATTTAACTATCACAGTAGTTTTATGTGCTTTGTCTCCTTCAGTGAAAAAGGAAAAGCATAAATATATGATACTTTTTGATTAAAAAACAATATTTTAGCATGGCTGTACTAACAGGTAACCCTTGGCTCAAAAATACGTTGAAAACACGTCTTGCAATATATACAAATATTCCATAGTCTTACAGAAATTCCAGTCTCTTTATGTTCCAATAAGGTGTTTACCTTCTTATATTTCACCAGATGTTCTATGGTAGCTTTAAAAATGACTTCCTTTTGTGAACGATAAGAAGAACGTCTGTTTAGATTCAGTAACGCCGCCGAAATTTGATATGGGTTGACATAACCGACACTAATAATAATGCTGCATCTAGGGTTTGACAGAGAAGGCAATAAGTAACTCATCTGAAGAACGAATACTAATACATATTACTAACCACATGTGACCCCAATAGCTAACATAAACAAAGACAGACTGGGTCAAGACGGTAAGAAAAACTGATCTTTATTATACACACAAAAACAAATACTAGCACCTACACAAAGTGATGCCGATAAATGAATAATTTAATTGGTTGCATAACTCTCAGCTTCATGATTGCTCAGTCGGAATTCCACTGCTTATCATTTCATTTGATGTAGTTACAAATATTGCGAACCATCAACTTAGAGAAGCTGGACAAGATAATTGATACTAACACACAACAATCCCAGTATTACTAATACACTGAGAACTGACCGTAGTTTAGAAATTTCAGTCAATAACAAAAATTTCTGAACGTAGTATTTATTTAGGCTGCTAAGAAACTACAAAGAATTAAGAAACAGAAGTTATTTATTCTGTGTTTTAGTTTTATTCCATCTGATTTTAATCCTTTACTAATCCTTAGTAAAAAGTATTAATTTTCAAGTATTAGTTTTGTAGGGATTTTGTTTGATTAGTTGGAGGATTACATCATGGGATGATATCAGTTGGAGAACCATTGGAAAACCAACAGAGAGTACTAGACAGCCAACTGTTTCATTCTCGTTTGGGAATCTTCACGGTACGCACCCACCGCCAGAGTTCGTACCCAGGACATCCTGGTTACAAGGCGAACTCGTAGACCATTAAGCCACTGAGATCCGATCCAGTGGTCTATGAATTCCAACTTCTGCCAATTCATGACATAGCGCGACCAGTTCACAATGTCTTCTTCTTCTTCACCTTCAACCTGCTGGTCGCGTTATGTCATGAATTGGCAGAAGTTGGAATTCATAGGCCACTGGATCGGATCTCAGTGGCTTAATGGTCTACGAGTTCGCCTTGTAACCAGAATGTCCTGGGTACGAACTCTGGCGGTGGGTGCGTACCGTGAAGATTCCCAAACGAGGATGAAACAGTTAGCTGTCTAGTACTCTCTGTTGGTTTTCCAATGGTTCTCCAACTGACGTCCTCTCATGATGAAATCTTTCAACTAAATAAAGGAAATCTTTACAAAACCAATACTTGAAAAAAGTTTTAAAATACACCAATTTAATAGTTATCCAAATGACACCTATTTTCGAGATCGATTGAATTTAGATAAAAGTCATGAAACTCCTTGAAATTATGTTTACATCAATTTGTGAAAAAGGCTAGTTAGGACAAAACCAACTGCAATATATATATATATAATTCTAGAAACTTGTGGTATGTTATTCAGCCGCCAAGAAAGCAGTAACATTTTAAAAATGAGTGAATCATCAAGAGGTATAATATAATTATTCTCATAAGATATACAATACAAATATATGTGTACTGCATAAACTGTACACAATAACAATAATAATCTTTCAAGAAAGGGACTAGTAAAAAAAGTAGGTAAACAGCTAAATTCTCTATCAAGATGAATATTGTACAGGGTTTCTACGCACACTAGAACCGAGTCACTTATAAACATATATGCAAGTAAAATATTAACTGCTTTTACGACTTTTATCAGATAAATTCTATTGCAAAGATAAGCAAATTCCCGGTGTTAAACGTTGTGTTGTTTAGTTTATAATTCTTGTAGTTTTATCGTTTCACTTCTTTTTTTGCATAAATTATCGCATAGGAGATTTATTCATTTAATAAAAAATATGTACAGAGACACAGTGGAGTTAATCACGATATTTTATATTGAATAATTCTGATTTTATTCCCTTCAAGGGGGTAGTCAACGGTTGTCATTGCTGGGCTATGCAGATGTGAAGTTGTTCTTGTTCAGTAATGAATAATAATTTTGTGGTGGGCTGTTTACTTTGGCAACCTTTAAGAAGTACTGACCACTCTACGTTTTTTTTACTGTTTCAGGCACGTGTGGGGAAAATATTAAGGGAAATTTAACTCCTAGACGAGTTAGATCCAGGACATTTTCGCAATAAATTTACCACCTCAGTTATCAACCCCGTTGCTCAAAATAATTCTGACTTTCATTCTAACTTAAAATTATTTTCGGATTACCCGAAAATATATAATGAATACACTAATCCATGTGACATTTCTAAGTATAACATTGTGGAAACAGTGTGTACGCTGTTAATTGAATTGAGACTAATTCATATTACAAGTAAGTGTGGTCTTTTATAGATCTATTTATATTTTAGTTCATTAAAATATCCTTTTAACAAGTTATTTATCATAATTTAAGTAAATAATTTTATTTCTTAGATGTCTTCATGAAAACCAGCAATCCACTTGGATTAAAAAGCTATTTTTTACTTTTGACTCTAATCACCTTCGATATTATTTTAAGTACACTACAATCTAAGGAACCATTGGTTGGTTGACACTTCTGAAAGTCATTTTGTGACACAACTTGATTTAATTTAACTTCAACAAAATCGACTCCCTCACAGATGATTTGGTTACTGCCAGGTCCATATTATTTAGTTCAATGTTCTGTTTTTTAAAGTTGTTCACTGCCACTGGTTTCCTTTTATGCTGCCTCCAGGGTGCAAAGTAGAGTTATCTGTTGTAATGCGATTGCTATAGGATTTTTATTTTTTATTGTTTTACGTTTCAAGTGGAACATAGGGTTTCAAGCTAGAGCTTTGAACTCTCGCTAGCAGTGGTATTTATTTTTACGGGATGGAGCTGCTAGCCTCATGTCCAACCTTCCCTCTTTATCAGTCCTTTTACCAGCTTAGTGGGGTAAAGAACTGCCTCGGTCAGGGATCGAACCCCGAACTACCTGCGTATTTGGCGAGCATTCTATCACTGTGCCACCAACGCGAACAGGATGTCGCTGCCAGGACTCGAACCTGGGTTAGTGAGGACACAAAACAGTATCCTAACCACTAGACCACAGCAACGATGCTATAAGAAGCAGTGACATAATATAAATGAAAACATGCATACTAGGAAAGGTATTTTAAGTTAAAGTTTTTCCTTATTATTACGAAAGTTACTTTATTAAGCAAAAATCATTCTATTCGCTGCACCAGCCAACCTTTGAAAAACATTTAAGATTCAAAATGTGTTTTGTTCACGCCTAACACCATCCTCATCAATGTCTGAATGTTTTCTTTTGGTAAATAGAAATATATGAAATATTTATGAAAAGCAGTCATTCTGATTCAGCTGATGATGATTAATTTTGAAGTTCTCTTGTTATTTATTGTGAGACTGATTTCAGTGTTATTTGCAGGTAAATCTGAATAGCACAAAGAAGAAAATTGAATCCCACAATTTCCTTCAAACTAAAATTTTCGCATTCCAAGTTAGTAGTTCAATATTCAACTCACCTTACATTTATTTTGATACAGTTGCATAGGACAGGTAAATTGTTAATTAGTATGGGCACATGCACACTAATTACAGTTTATTAATTTTGCTGTAACAGATTTCATTATGAATATTTTTATGGAGTGAATTATGTAAGACATGCTTGCATCATATTAATGTAATAAACTTATTTTCTTTGATTCATATTTTCAATTAAAAAATTGGATTCAGGATTTGATCGTGAACTGACATCGGTTACAGAACCACTGGAAAAGTAGACAGCTGTTTTGTCCTAGTTTGGGACCTTTCATCAGTATACACCCACTGGAGTTCGAATTCAGAACCTTCAGGTTACAAGGCAAGCTCTTCCAAACCCCAGTAGGCGCATAGTGATGAAGAGTCCCAAATTAGGATAAAACAACTGGCCAGTGCTCCTTGTCGGTTTTTCAATGGTTCTCTAACTGATATCAGTTCATGATGAAATCATGAAAGCAATCAAATCCCTGCAAACTAACACTTGAATAAAACATTGGAATCAAGGGTTTCGTTTTTAAGGACATAAATAATTATTCCTTGGATCGCATCAGATGCGATATTTTTCAAGCTTGAATCTGTTACACATTTTCCTCAAATGCGCTTTTTACCTTCTCCTTTTTTATCATTGTTTATGTTAGTTAATTTCATCCTTTATTACGTAATATAGAAATTGTCATAATTCATATACTCCATTACATATTGTTTTGTTCAATTCATTCCTTTATTCACTAGATCAATTGAAATACCCGCACAAATTTAATTTCGATATTTTTTGGGTTTTTTAAAATCTATATATGAAATTCAGCATAACAGTTCTCAAGAAAGGCAAGTAGGATGACTAATCAGGAGTGAATTGTTGATTTTTCGTTGTGTCATTTAACTATTGTCTCGCTAAGTCCTACAAAATCTCAAAAATAATTACGATGAACTGAATTCCAAGTTGACAGTTGTATACGATATGACAATCAGCAAATATCGGAACTGATAGCTGGTGGAATAATATAACTCTGCCATATTTGTAAATATCTTTTCGTCAATACACATTTAATTTGCTGAAGTTCAGATAGACGGGATATCACAGGACTGTGCAGCGGCCGCTGTAATGATTCATTTCAATGACTAATCGAAGATACTTTCATACAAGTACAGCCCAGTACGAAGATAAAAATCTTCGCAATGTAGAAAATATATCAGTAAGGTTAATAAAAGCACATGGCCGACTTACAGGAACCATCTGAATTACAGCTTTTCTTGGTCTGTGGAATCGCATTGACTGTGACTTGAACTAGTTCCTACGTAAACTGGTAGCAGTTGGTAGTGGCTATTCAACTGTCAGTATCAGGGGTCTACGTAAAAAGTTCAGACGGATATCGTCACCGAAGAATTCCACAGAATTAGCGCCATATAATTCTCAAAGCTGAATGAAAGTCAAATAAGTACAAAACAATGTCTGAGGTATTCTACCGTGAAATGAGATAATTCCTTTCTAATAAGTACTTATCATTTTAAAGAAGGTTACTATTGCTTAAATGGGCTACTTTAACCCCACTTCAGGTGCAGTATGAAGAGTTTTGGTGTAGTTATTCCAAAACGCATTAAAGACAGATATTTCTGGGTTAATTTCAATCTCCTGCTATTTTGTTTTGTCATGATAATTTTATCTTTTATTTTGTAGTGCTAACACTCAAAGTATAAATTATTTCGTACCTGAGTTAAGTAGGTCTAATTTTCAAAAAATGCAATTCAGATCAGTGTGCACACATTAACACCTTGGGAAAGGCAAGAAAAGAATACAAATAGAAAACGGCAAGGATCATATTGTTGAAGGGAGTAAAACACTTGATTAGCACTAAGTATCTGACCACTACTCCATAACCATATTGTAATATACCTATTTCAATACTATGACAGTACTAAACTAGATACCTCTAACTTTTAAGGGTTCGAACTATTAAGAACCACTGAACTAATCACAGAACTAACAAATTTCCCGGAATTTTAATAATTTTTGAAATGATACACGTTCGTGACATATTTTAACCTTGAAATTTGTTTGAATATAACCAACAACATGTTTAAAAAACAGTAGGATACTTGTATACCCATGAGACAATATTCTTTATCCTCATTTTAAAACTATGTCTCTAGTTCAAATGGTGAAAAGCATATTAAAATATAATATGTATACTAGCTTAGTTAATACAATCTAAAAAAAAGGATTTTTGCTTGCCAATCAAAAGAAATATTATGATGATGAATACAGGGTAGAGGATAGCCAAAGGACAAATGCACAGACACTCGTATTCTTGCAAGAAAAAAGCTATGATGAACACATTTGTGCACAAACAAACGGTCATAGGAATAATCATTACATGTATATATATATATATATACGATGGGAGACTTTTGCTAGAAAGTGGGAGAATGTGAGATTTCACATTAGGAATTTAGCTAACTTTATAATCAATGCAGAAGATATCAGAAGATATTAATAAACTTGACATTTTTGTTGGTGACACTATAGACCGGCCTACCTGTTCATTTATCTTTTTTCGGTTTATTGTCATTTCATGTATTCATATTTCAGAAGAAACACAATTCTGCTGAATCGAATATCCATGATTTGATCGTGTGAAGGAAATGAAAATAAAAAATCGGCGAATTATTTAATCTTCAAAAATGAAGCGACAGTGGAATTTGTGAACTTTTTACTCTGTCAGTAAACCAACAGATTGTCGGATTTCTTTCTCTCACTCAGATATTCATGTATAAATATTAAAACTAATTATCAATTCGGTAAGCATTATGTATGCATGTCTATGGGTTATTTTTAAATTGATGTCAGTCTACAATGAAACATACATTGAAATAACTTTCGTGTTGAGTTTTATGTGACAGAGATAAAACACTTTTCTTCACTATGATTAGGGCTTATATTAAGAATGATGTAGCTTACTTACCTAAAGACTGTAAACTTCATCTATGAGAAAATGTTTGGGATGGAAGCAAACAAACTTAGGTACCAAAAGATATCTCGCTCTCTCTTCTTTTCAACTCTTCAGATAAGAACATTAAGGAACAATATGAATTTCATGTTATTAAATGTCTTCAGACGAATTGAAATGAGACTAGGATTAGTTCTAAGAGGTACAAGTATATGGATTAAGTGCTTCTTCATGTCAGCGGTCGAATAGTCACCATATTACGCCTAAAGTTGCCTGACAATCTTTGATCTCAACCTTTTTCACAGAGTGAATTAAACATCTGACTAGTAGTCTAAAAAAATTATAGAAGGCTGTCGAATTTCGTTTGACTAGTGTATACTTGAGCCTTTATGTTCATTTAGACACGGTAATAATATCCATGGGTAACAAAATAAAATCTGTCAAACTTCGCATCTTAATTAATTAACTAACTAACTAACCAAATAGCCTAATATGGTAATTTTCGAAGTCTGTCTTCTGCATCACCTTTGAGATAAACTCATTTTGGCCTAAAAATATAAATACTATTATGATTAGACTGGATTTCAAACTAAAGAAATAACCATTTTGTTAAAATATTCATTCAGACAGCTATAAAAAATAAAAAAATTAAGAAAAGAATATCTTTTTTGATAATTTCCTCTTCTGGCTCTGCAATTATATATATGATTATACACATAGAATATTGTTATTGTCTACTGTCCTAGAATTTTCTATGTATATAAACATTTATATAATTATAGAGCCAGAAGAGGCAATTATCGGAAAGGATATCCTCTGCTCAATTATTTCATTTTGTTAAACACCGTAAAAAACCAGTAGGTCACATTTAATACTATGTTTAAAAATATGTATTTATACGTGTGCATGGGATAAATACTATAATATTCGATTCAAGTACCTATTTCAAACACTAATGAGGGAATGTGCTTGGATTTCTTCGTTTGCCGGATGTACAGTAACACTGTAATGAATGATACTAAGTTGAAACTGTTTGCAATTCTCCAAGCTGTTATATATCAAACTGACATTTTACAATGTCATTCATAATCAGTATTCCTCAGCTCACCTAACTTAAGTAGCAACGACCTGAACTGAAGTGTTTTGGTCTGAACTCTGGTAATCAGTCTTCGCGTTCTACTGTGAAGTTAACCAAAACTTCCTTCAGTTGCACACGGTCCCAAAGTGCATCGATGACAGCGAAAAGATAGTTATTTGCGATAAAATCTAAAGTGAAATGAAAATAAAATGATGAAAACATAAAAAGCTCAAAATTACCTCAACAGTATCTTTAGGCACCTATGCAATCAAGAGAACGTTCTAAGTAAAAAAAAAAACAAGTATTGTAGAACAATATTAGTTAACTAAATTCAACTGTAAGCAGTACCTTGGAATCGAGTGGAATATTCCCAACAAGGACGAATAAAAACTCTGTTCACAAGAATCACACACCAACACTTCCCCCACACAGTCCAGGGTCGAAACCATCATGGTTCACTTTAACAAAATCACACCATTAAACAACTCGTTATCAATTTATCTCACAAACACAAAGACGAGCAAAAAAGTCAGAGATTAAACAGTGACAAAGACAAACGATAACGATCAAGTCAAAATCTGATATGCAAATGTCAAAATAATGATATACAGTCTAGGAGGAAAACGAATAATAATTACAAAGTTGGCTCTAACATCCAAATAAGTATCAGTGTTGTAAATAGATGGTTCAGGAGGAATTTTTCAGACAATTATTTTGTTATACTAGTATTAGTCTTCAGTGTCTAAATCCATGGTAATATATTCTTCCTTTTGCAACAATAGCTGGCCTTCAGTTTTCATGATTTGTCTTGCATAGAACTTACTTAAAGCGTAAAATCAGGAAGCCTAAAAATCAATTACCCAACTGTTAAATCGTTGGCGTTATGTTGCTAACATTATAGTACTTTGTTGACTAGTGGCATACTTTTTTCATATTTCCCTTCTCTAAGTGGAATGAATGTGCAGCTGTCATCAACGTATCATGTTAGTTTGACGTTAAGTTTTTAAAAAATGATGCTTTGTGTCTCTACAAGCTTTTTTCAACAATCAAATTATACTGTCAAAAAGAAAGAGAAATCACGACTTAATGGTTTATGTTGTCTTACTTCAGTGAAGTGAAGGTTAATAAGTGGAAATGAAAATTACAACGCTGGATTGGAAAATTATTACCAGGTCAATAGGACTGAAAGAAAATAAGCCACCGAAATATACTTTTGTCCAAAGCATCTAGAGTATTATACGGTCATCACTTGACGTTTTGTGGTAGAATATTATGAAACTCAGTATTTTCCAACAGTACCTTGATTTATAGACTGTTAAACTTAATCCTACTACAGTAAAAATAGTATGCTCTTTATCAAGATTTGTAGTTTCAGAATGCGGCTTAGCTATTCTAACTTATTTACTAGGGTTCCGTGTGAGAACATAAGGCTTCAGCAGCACACCACTGTTTCATCTTGTTTTTTGCATCCCTCTTCATCTGACTCCACGATTGTCAATAAGCTCTCACTTCCTCTTCATACGATCTCCCCAATGTCACTGTTGGATATTCATCTCTCACTCTGCCACTCAACCTCCACATTTTTGAGAGACAATGGGTTCTTTGTTGGTTTGTTCCCAGAGTTCCTTGCCGTTATTGCTTCCTGGCCTTCTACCTAATACTCTACTTATTTTCTTTATCTCCCTTGCATTATGAGCCAAGTGCATAGAGGCTATGCAGTAGAGATCAACCAATTCAGTGACTACATTTCATAGCTAGTAAATATGAAATATTACTGTAGCAAAAATCCATATTTAGACATTTGGAAGACAAAAGTACTGAACGAAGATAAATTTCTCTTGCATTTAGACCCAACTGAAGAGTAATTATTTTTGTGCCCACTTCTCTTTTTTTCTAAATACGAAAAGTCGTGACCAGTAGGGTGCAACAGATCGGATGTGAGGACAAATACTCGCCGAAGATATTGGCTAGGGGTCGCGCTATGTCGTGAGTTGGCAAAAGTTAGAATTCATAGGCCATTGAAAGCCCTGGGTTTGAAACCCGGTGGGTGCTTACTGATAAAGAGTCCCAAACCAAGACGAAACAGCCGTCTAGTACTCGCAGGTTTTCCAATGGTCCTGTAATTAATGTCAGCTCAGGATAAAATCCTGTAACCAATCAAATCCCTACAAATCAACACTTAAAATACGATACTGTTAACTGGTGCTCACTACACTCGAATTTTTTGTCAGCATTCAATCATGTTTCAGAATTTACACGCGAAAAAGCAATCAAGATCTATGAATAGGTTCCAAAAGCAGATACCGCAATATAATATGCCATGTGAATGAATCATGGATATTAACTTAACCAAAATAATACTGAATGTTGCTGAGAATTCATGAGAATTTCAGCTACACTTATAGGAAAACAGACCGCATTAAAGACTACCCAGTTAACTTGCTATAGCCTGCTTTAGAGACTTGTATCAAACTGCCTACTTCTCCTTCCCGCTGAGACGAAACTACCAAATATGAAGTCTACAGCTTCTTGTTCAGGACACCAAGACAAAAGTTAGTGATATAAGGCTACGGTTAGAATGATCACTGACTGATATTAACAGGTAAATTTATAGAATGGTAACTAAACCTCATTTCTAGTTTTAAAACTCTCCTTATACAGAAGCCTAGACATAATACTAGGTATAAACAATTTCTAAACTTAGCTTAGAACACAAAGCAATAACTTCATAACTTGAAGACAAATATGTATTGGAGGAGATTAGTAACTCAGGTGAATGATTTTGATTTAGTTGTGTTCTCTGAACTGGTTGATTTGATTACAAAGCTCTCGTCATTCTTCTAGACAATATCTTCAGCACTGCTTATGGTATGAAGTGGACTTATTTGAATTCTCTATGAATTGATACATTTGTATCCCCTGGCAACCATTGTGGTGACTGGTTGTTAATTTACTTCTCTATTGATCATTTTTTATTGACTTGGAAACTGAACTTTCTCGTCATGTGATTTGCTTATTATCAGCTGATAAATGTGGTCTATAATAATGTGCTTGTTAATTGACGATTGATTTGAGTATCAGGCTTCTAGAAATTTCCTGGTAGTATTTTTGGTGTTTCCTCTATTTAAAATCTCTGCTACCTCTCAATCATATTGGTGTCCGTAATTATCTACATGCATCAATATGAAAGAATATATATCATATCTGTTTACAGCTAATTTGTGTTCTTGGATTCTGATTCTACGGGGACACCTACTTCGACTGATGTAATGTTTATTGCAGTTCATACAATTTGTTTTTTAAATGGTAATATTTTTATCTTCATTTCCTGTTGGATGTTGTCGTTTGCACAATATCGAATGAAGTGGTTGTGCTGGCCTGTGTATTATATCTATTTCAAACGGTGTCAATATATTCTTACTGTTATTTTAGAGATTTGTTTTATATGTGGTAGAATGCATTTTCTTGTATTTTTTGATGGTGGTTTATTGTTTGTGTTATGACTTCAGGTTAAGCACTGTTTAATGCTATTGTGAGGATATCAATTCTCTCTGAAGACGTTTAATAGGTACTTTTTCTTCTATTCTCCTCAATACCGGAGTGCCACAGTGTATTTATACTCTTTTATACAATGTCTACACACAGTTTCTTTTGTGGGTAGTTGGGTAACTACTACTATGGTTGAGTATCTGGTCTGTGTGCGTTGATTTTCTATATACTTGTGTTTCTATTGATGTAGGCATATAAAATATGGGCACTGTGGTACAGTACAA